TGAGATGGATCTTTGAGAATGTTTTGAACTTTCTTAAGGCAGCGGGAGCTATAAAGCTCTTCCAAAGAGGGGAGAGGGCAACCAGTGATCCTCTGGGCAATGATGTGCTTTCCTAGCTGCCACTGTCCAATTGGCAAACCATACAGAGGTGCAGTATGTTAAAATGCTCTCTATGGTGCAGCGGTAGAAGGTCCCCAGCAGTTCCTCATTCAGTTGTTGTTTTCTGAGAAGCCTCTGCTGGGCCCTTTTGACCAGGGCTGCAATGTGGGCACCCCAGGTCAGGTCCTCTTTGAAGGTAGCACCCAGAAACTTAAAACTGGCCCCTTGCTCCACTCTCCATTGATAAGCAAGGGCTGGATGTCTGATCTGTTCCTTCTATAGTCCACTATAAGCTCCTTGGTCTTATTGGTGTTGAGGACCAAGTTATTGTCTCCACATCACAAAAGCAACTGGTCTACCTCATCTCGATAGGCAGACTCATCCCCCCGGAGATGAGTCCCACCACTGTTGTATCATCCGCAAATTTAGCAATAGTATTACTAGCGTGAGTGGGCATGCAGTCATGCACATAAAGAGTATAGAGTAAGGGACTCAACACACAACCCTGCGGTGTACCTGTGTTAAGAATAAGGGCTGAAGAGGTATGATTACCTAATCTGACCCTCTGTGAGCGGCCAGACAGGAAATCCATAATCCAAAAGCAGATTGAATTAGAAAGCCCAAGGTCCAGAAGTTTAGACACTAGTCTATGTGGAAGAATTGTGTTAAACGCAGAACTAAAATCCACAAAAAGCATCCTCACATAGCCCTCCCGCTGTTCTAGGTGAGTCAGAGCAGTGTGAAGAGTGATAGCTATAGTGTCCTCTGTAGATCTATATTTTTTTTTTGTATGCAAACTGGTGTTTATCAAATGTATGCGGAAGACCAGAAATGATGTGCCGGCAGACCAATTTCTCAAAGCACTTCATGATGATAGGAGTAAGCGCCACTGGTCTGTAATCGTTGAGGTTATTGGTAGGGAACTTCTTTGGCAGCGGAACAATGGTGGAAGCCTTCAAACAAGATGGAATAGTGGACTGGGATAAAGGCCGATTGAAGATCCTGGTAAAGACTCCAGCCAACTGATCAGCACAGTCTTTAAGCACTCGGCCAGAGATACCGTCAGGACCGGCAGCCTTTCTAGGGTCCACAGCCCTCAGAATGCTCCTCACCTCCTGTTCCTCCACAATGAGGTGGGGGCTACAATTGGCCGGAAGTTGTGTTTTATCTGTCTCTGGTGTCTCCACTTCAAAGCGAGCAAAGAAATGATTCAGTTCCTCTGCCAATGAAGCACCCCCCTCAGCAGGGATGACGTTGGTCGGTTGATGGTTTGTAATTTGTTGAATCCCTCGCCATACCTGCCTCATGTTATTGCTATAAAAATTATCCTCAATCTTCCTCTTATAATCAGTCTTGGCCTTCCGAATACCTTTCTTCAGATTAGCTCTGGCAACACCGTATCTTGCCCCATCACCGGACCTAAAGGCCTTGGTCCTGTCACGCAAGAGGCGCTGGACTTCCTTGGTCATCCAGGGTTTCTGATTGGGATAGATCCTAATACATTTATCCACAGGGGTGGGACTCAAATTTTTTAACGACCGGTTTCTGTGGGCGTGGCTTAGTTGGTGGGCGTGGCTTGGTGGTCATGTTATTGGCTGGGTGTGGCCAACTCAATATCACTCCCATCGAGGCGTGCATTTCCTTGCCTGGCCTCTCATTACTGTGGGGATGCTGCAACAGTCGTAAGTGCGAAAAATGGTCATAAGTCACTTTTTCCAGTGCCATTGTAACTTTGAATGGTCACTCCACACAAGCAAAGTACCAGCAAAGGAGGGAAAAAAAACTCCAGAGAAGTTCCAGAAACAGGAAGTCTAGTCCTGCCAAGAATGTAATAAGGGTTAATGGAGAGGCAGTTTCTGTAAGCAACACCAGAATGTTTCCTTCCTGCCTTCCTTACAGGATTAGCCCAGTAATTTCTTCGAACAACCGGTTCTCCGAACTGCTTAGAATGTTAACAACCGGTTCTAGCGAATAGGTGCGAACAGGTAGAATCCCACCCCTGTATATCCACAGTGATAGTATCTGCGCAGTGTTTGATATAGCACAGAACAGTTGCAGTGTGCACCTCTAGGTCAGGGTAGTAAAAGATGTCCCAATTTGTGTTCTCAAAACAATCCTGAAGTTGTTGGGAAGCATCTTCTGGCCAAGATTTCACTCTCTTTATTATAGGCAGAGCCTGTCTCCTAAGAGGGATGTAAGCTGGTGCTAAAAGCAGTCACATATGGTCTGATTGTCCCAAATGTGGTAATTGTATAACTTTATAGCCATGTTTGATGTTGGTATATACTTTGTCCAATATGTTTGCTCCTCTAATAGTAACTAATCAGCTCCAATAAGGAAGAGCCTTTCCAAGTTTTTGCAAGGCTGCCAAGAACAACAGATAAAGTTCCTAAACAATAAATCAAAGAGACTCCAAACACCAAACTCAGATATTCCTAATGTTCACCAGGCTCGAGTGTCAAACTTCTTTGCCTTCTGCAAAGAACTGCAGTTTCTCAGCTGGCTTTTATCTTCTCAGGGAGGGGCCATTACCTTGCAGCCGTACTCCCAAGTCACCCATGCTGCTGCAGCTGCTCTTTCCTACGAGCAACCCTGTGCGCATGCGTGCTGGGCCCTGGCTCCTCGGAGACCTCTTCATCACTGCTGCCAGCCTCCACAATCTCCAAAGGCAGCATTCCACTCCCTGATGGTCCTGGCCCCATCCCTATATCACACGCAGGCCCCTCATCTGAGTCCTCACTCTCCAAGACCTCAGCCATCCGCACCTGCTGCCAGCGAACCACAACAGTTTGAGAGGATGTAACAACAGAGTCAGGTAGAGTCAGAGTCAGAGTCAAGGCGTTGACCTCTCTGTTGCTGAAGCCGTATTTTCTGCAATCGAGTTTGGAGTGGTTTACTTTGACTTTGTATCTACAAGGAGTCATGGACAGGTAGGACATTGTAACAGACAATTTTGTGTACTAAGCTTAGATCAGACCATAGGCGGAGTAGTTCTTGAAAAAGCACCTTTGCTTCTTGAAAAAGCACCTTTGGGATAACCATGTCCTGGATGATTGAGAATCTCCATAGACATCACTTCTGAGCTTCCTTCGGTCCTTTAAAGACAGGGGTCTCCAACCTTGCAACTTTAAGGTTTGAGGACTTCAACTCCCAGAATTCCTCAGCCAGCCAAACCTACATACCAGGGTTGTTGTTGTGGGAACAGAAAAGGAGGGAGCATTAGGTATGTCCGCTGTTTTGAATTATTTGTAAAAATAATAAAGGTGGGATAAAAATAAAGAAATCTACTATTACTGTTGTAATACATGGTATAATCTATTGCAATATTTTGTCAATTGCGAGACGAGCAGCATGTAAATTTGATAATTATCATATACTATATTTACATATTGTCTGATATATGTACTTTTATTATTATACTTGTAATATTTTAATACATGCTATAATAATTTACAATATATTATCCTATACTATATGTACTCTTAATGTTGGATATAACCGAATGGATATCATCATCATCTCTATTGTTGCAATATCAATGTAAACCGCTTCAAACTTGATTGCAGAAAGTACGACTTCAGCAACAGAGTGGTCAATGCCTGGAATGCACTACCTGACTCTGTTGTTACATCCTCTAACCCCCCACTCCTTTAACCTCAAACTATCCACTACTGACCTCACCCCATTCCTAAGAGGATGATGCATAAGTGCACCATCGTGCCTACCGTCCCTGTCCTATTGTGCCCATTTATTCGTACCTATTTCCTGTATTCTTACTCATGTTTATACTTATACCTGTTATCTTGTAAGCGATTGACAAATCAAATAAATAAATAAAATCAAATAAAAATAAATATATAGTAGGCAATACCAGTGTTTCTCAACTTCTGCCATTTGAACATGTACGGACTTCAACTCCCAGAATTCCCCTGCCAGCACTAGGGAATTGTCAGCCTTCAAGATTTTCTCCCTTTGCTTTGCATCTTTCGGCTGTCATAAGTAACCGGGAGGGGGTGGGGAGGAGGGGGAGAATGATTATGGGAAGTGAGCTGGAGGTGTTACAAACCAGAACTGTATAAACTGGGGGGGGGGGGGGACATTCTTGCTTAGGTTTCTATCCTATGCGCAGCTGCAACTCTATCAAACTATGTCAAGGTCAACGGACAGAAGCCTCACCACCACCTGGAGATGCCCACATGATGATATACACAACTTTTAATTGGAGGAACCAATTGAACTATTGGGGGTGGGAACGTTGTCATTACTTTGTATATGTGATTTACGGGCCCATTTTCTCAGATTCAGAATTCTTTTGTAGCTACCACTTGATTTCCAGTAAAAGATATCTTTTGTTTGATTAACTAAGTATTTCCTTCTTGGATTTTGAATGGAGCACCAGCTGACAGGAATTCTGGGAGTTGAAGTCCCCACAACTTCCAAGCAGCTGAGCTTGAGAAACAGAAACAACAAGATACTATCCCACAGTACATTGTCGTCGTCGTTTTCCTTCGTGCCATATATGTGACTATATGCATAATTTATTTAGTCATGTTTATGTGTAGTGTATATTGGAGGTGGAGACCCCTTTGAGAGCTGCGCGCGACGAAATTTCATTTTAATGTATGTCGATTGTGCAGCGTAACCTTCAAAGTGACAATAAAGTTATTCTAAATCCATAAATCCCTATTATGACGAATATGATGATTGCCGCTGTCGTATCAGCGGCCCCACGTCGATCCTTGCCGGCGAATTCTCCCGTCCAAGCCACTCCGACGCTTTTCCTCTCTTTTTTTTTTGTCCCTTCCGCCTTCCCGTAGCCGAGCGCTGACTAAAACTACAGTTCCCGGCATGCTCGGGGCGAAGGAAGCGACGAGACAGAGAGAGAGAGAGAGAGAGAGAGAAAGGCCGGTGCGCGCCCTATGGACGTCGCCTGCTGAATTGGATGCTCCCATTGCAAGAAGAGAGGCCCTTGGGCTCGGCTGCTCCGTGGGGCCAGCAGCCCGGGGAGCGCTTTCCTCTTCGCCGCCGGGTGCAACCTTGAGGAAAGCAAAGGTGAGAGCGGGCTTTTACATATGCACACACTCACACACGGTCCTTGCAAGGCCGGCGAGGCCGGGAAGGTATCCATCTTCCTTCCTCCGCTCCCTCCCCCCCACCCCCCACCCCCCCCCCCCCCGCCACGGCAGGGTCTTTCCCGCCATTGGAAGAGTCGTGCCTGTGGGTTTTTTTAAAAAAAATAATATTTATTTTATTTAATTATTTATTATTTCGGTTTCCGCCGCCGCCGCCTCCGTTTTTCCCCCCTCCCCGAGGCCTTGGACATCCCTTTTCCAAGGCGTCTTTCCAGCCATTTTGAAGCGGGGGGCGCCAAAACGTGCTTTTTCTTTTTCTTTTCTTTTCTTTTTTTTTTTTAGGCCGCCTCGTTTTTCTTTCAAAGGGGAAGCGAGGCTGAGCTTCCATCTTTCCTCCCGCCTGGCTTGGTTTCCTGGGCTGGTTTTTTCACGCCTTGTGGGGGCCAGATGGTTTAGGGAAAAAAAACCTCGGAGGAGGCTTCTTTCTGGGCGGCCGAAGGCCTTTTTTTTTATATATATATGTCTTCGATTTACGACCGCCCTCGAGCCCCCCCCCCGCAAGTTCCGTGCCTAAAGCGGGACGGTCGGTCGTGTGAAGGGCGGCGTCGGGCGGGCCTTTTTTTTTTTTTTGGTTCCTCGCCGAGGTTTGTTCAGCGAATCAAACCACCTTCCCACCCCCACCGTGGTTAAATTGGGCAAACCCGGTTTGTGAAGCGAATCGGGTTCCCCCCTTTTTCCCTCTCGGACTTTGCTTGGCGGAAGGTGGCCTGAAAGAGGGTGTGTGTCTGTGTGTGTGTGTGTGTGTGTGTGTGTGTGTGAAGTGGCCCCGGGACGCCTCAAACGGTCGTAAATGGGAGTCGGTTGGAATGGAAGTCACGTGACCGTGAGGCGGGTGGGGGGGGGAGGAGGAGGGCGGATACCGAAAGGGGCCGTTATAAGTGTGAAGAAAAAAAAAAAACGGTCATGGCTCGCTTTTTAAATATTTTTTATTTTCTTCTCAGGGCCATTGTGCCACGGAGCGGTCACTAAGCGAAGTTGTTGTAAGTCGAGGATTTGCCTGTAGGGGAAAAAAAAAAAAACGAGGGTTGAGGTGTCCTCCATTGGAGCTGGGCTTAAATTTCATTTTTGGGAATTCAAAAACCGACAAGTCATTTAAGTGTTTTTCCAAGGGACAGAAAAAATAGGGGACTTAAAACACCCGTTTGTTTCTTTTTTTCACACTTAACGACCGTTGTTGCAGCATTTCCCCCCCCCCCCCCCCCCCCCCCCCCCCCCCCCCGCCGTGGGTCAGGTGATCCCAATTCAAAATCCTTGCCCATGAATTCAGGTTTGTGACGGTTGCAGTCTTTTGCCACCGCTTCGTCGCAAAAGTCAGTGGGATTCATTTCAACAAAGCGTGCTGCCGATTTAACGACGGCGGGGATTCACTTAAACGGTGGCAAGAGAGGTTGTTAAACGGGACAAAACTCAACTTGACAAATGTGTCACTTAAGCCACAGAAATGTGGGGGTTCAAGGGTGGCCGTAAGTCGAGGACCAGCTGTATTTCCCAAAGCGTGCACTTAAGATTCCTTGGAGGTCCCCCAAGGCCGTCTCTGGATCCCAATCAAATCAGTTTATGTTGAGAAACATATATAAGCTGGATATCCGTGTTTCGCTACGAAACTATGGTCGGGTTTAGTTTTGGGGGAGGAAAATAAAGGGGAAAAATTCTGCCTTTGCCTACCAGCATCCATCGGTATTCATCTGCCTAGCGTCCTTTCGGTGTGCCAGAGAGGGTTGAGGGCTGTTTGGAAACTGAAACAGTATTTGCTATGTGAGCAAGAAGGAGACAGCAAGGAGCCTGGTCATGGCTTAGCTCAACTGTTCTGTACTAAAGCTGCTTGGTGCTGTGAAACTAAAACGGAAACTGAAACTCCTCTGCTTGTGTTTTGCATTTGGAACAGATTTCTTTTCAGGTGGGGGACTGGGTGTGGAATTCCTCAGCATCAGAGCGTGTTAATAATAATATAGGAAATCCTAATGCTCTGATGGTCATTTGGAAAAATCCTTTCTTAGCCCCTAGAAGCCAAGAGGAACATACGTGCCAAATTTCAAGTTTGTAGGCTTTCCGGTTCGGGATATTTTGTGATGATGTGTGAGTGGTATTTCGCTTTTATACAGATAGAGAAGATGGATTATGTGGTGGTCTGACATTGGAAATGAGACACAGGGAAAATGTCTGAGAGAATGCCAGCCCTGAGTGAACTCAGGTAGCAGTATTTATTGAGAAAAAGTAAAACAAAAGTACAGTATGCATATTCAGAAAACAATGACCTCAACAGAATTACCTCACCAGCATGAGAACACACAATCTTGGAAAGTCCCAGATGTTACCTTACTAGGATGAGATCATACAGCCACGGAAAGTCCCATGGGAAAGTCTGGAAAGTCCCATGAGAAAGCACAACTGTGTACCTTGAACTTTTACCTATTTTCCTGTTCCTTCTAAACTTGCAGATCAAAACAGGATGAGACACTCATGAGCAAAGGTACTCCTACCCCCACCAAGAATGCCTACATATCCCTAGACCTATTGCTAGTTGTACAAAGGGCTTACAGAAAATGATCAATAGATTATATTACCACAGATTAAAATCCCATCTGACAAGCATAGTGATGGTGAATGCATCAGTTTTAATTTTGTAATATAAACATTGAACACGATAACCCATATACAAACCAAAGCCCTTTCGGGGATCCTTGATGGTTTTAAAAGCAGGAAAGGGTTTGAGAGCAAAAAGTTTGAAAGCAAATGCTTCAAAATCTTTAAGCTCCAATTAAGCAACCGGTTGGACCAGTCATTGGGTCAAGGTTGACTGCAGTGTTGATTTATTTAATCAGATGGTGAAAGTCTTTGATAGCTGTATATTATCTGCCAAATTTATCCCCAAAGTGCTTTTTTAAAAAGGGCAACCGGGCTTTCTTTGTTTTTCCTTGAAGACATTTTGCTTCTTTGGTTCTGACTGAATGGAAGATGGAAGGATTTATATGCAACACAGTCCTTTGGCACCCTGATTTCGGTGACCCCGAGAGCACAGATAAACCCCCAAGTGGCCTCAACAACTTAAGAAAAAATGCCAACAACCAGATGACTGCAAAGAATATAAATCTTTCCATCCTCCACTATTCAGTCAGAGCTGAAGAAGCTTCTTGGATGAGAAGTGAAAGGTCTTCAAGGAAAAAACAAAGTCCAGTTGCCTTTTGGGGGAAAAAAAAAGCACTTTTGGGACAAACACGACCTGGATGACTGAGAATCTCCACAGGCCTATCTCAAATTTATGTAACCAAACAACTGATAAAGGTGACTCTAGAATCAAATTTGGGAGTCAACCCCTTTGAATTCAGCAGAAGAAACTGAGCAACGATGGAGAAGCTTAAGGCTGAGTTTTGAGTTATATTATGAGAGAGTTTCAATTTTTTGAATAAACACCTAAACTGAAGTGTAAAGCCAGGGTCAGAGTTGTATTCACGTCCTGTCGAACTGCTTGCGAATGAAATAGGCATGGATTTAGACAAAGCAGCATATTGTCGATTGCGCAGTCAGCCAGATGTTTAGTCTGGAGTTGGCGTTTTTATCCAACTATTGAGTCCTTCCCAAGATCTTGGGAGAGGTTGATGTTGTTGCTTGGTGGCGTTAAAAGTACCTTCACGAGTTGTAAACTGCTCTAACTAAAGCTCCCTTTGGCAATTGACCAGTTGGGATTTTGTCAGGGCTTACAGTAGCCAAGTAGTTTCGTTCAACTTTGCATCCAGTTAATCCCAGTTGTTTTGGGACTGCACCCAAAGTGCTTTGCCTATCACCACTGGTACTGTTTTTGCCTTCTTTTGCCACAGTTGTTCTTCCACAGGTAAAATCCTCAACTTAAAACAAACACCACTTTATAATGCTTTGGTAAAAGCGCATTTGGAATACTGCATCCAGTTTTGTAAAAAAAAAAAAAAGATGTTTAGAAAGAGTGCAGAGAAAAGCAACAAAGATGATTAGGGGATTGGAGGCCCAAACAAAATAAAGAACAGTTGCTGGCATTGTGTATGTCTAGTTTAATGAAAAGAAGGACTAGGGGTGACATGATAGCAGTCTTCCAATAACTGTAGGGTTGCCATGAAGAAGAGGGAATCAAGTTATTCCCCAAAGCCCCTGAGGGCAGGACAAGAAGCAATGGGTGGAAACTAATCAAGGAGAGAAGCAACATAGAATTAAGGGAAATTTCCTGACAATGAGAACAATTGATCAGTGGAACGACTTGCCTCCAAAAGTTGTGGAAGCTTTTAAGAAGAGACTGGACAACCATTTGTCTGAAATGGTGCAGGGTTTCCTGCCTGAATAGGGGAGGAGGTTGGACTAGAAGACCTCCAATTATTTAGTGACTGTTCAAAGTTAACAATGGCACTGAAAAAAGCGACTTTTGACCAAGTTACTATGTTATCAACCACAGCGATTCACTTAACAATTGAGGCAAGAAAAGTCACTTAAATGTCTCACTTAACCACAGAAATGTTGGGCTCACCTGTGGTTGTAAGTGAAGGACCACTTGTATTTGCAGGTTCTTTGACTTCTTCATTTTAGCCAATCTCGGTTTGAATACAACCTTGTTCCTGCTTTGTCATTCTATTGTTTGTACTGTAGTTAACTCTTAAATGTTGGGATTTGTTTTATAAATAAAATATGCATTCATTGAGGTAAAGCAGCATATTATTACTATTCTTGGTATTCTTGCTGCTATTATTCTTTATCTCAGAGGTTTTTTTTATCATGTCAAAGCAATGGCCATCCAGTAGTCCTCGACCAGTAGTCCTCGACTTACGACCACAATGGAGCACAGAATTTATGTTGCTAAGTGAGAAACCTGTTAAGTGAGTTTTGTCCCATTTTACGACTTTTTTTGGCCCATGTTTGTTAAATGAATTACTGCAGTAATTAAATTAGTAACATGGTTGA